TAATTTAAAGGCACTTTACCGCCACCTGCTGGGCTGGAGTGTGGACCATGACGGTTTTAAGGTGTGGATATTTTCTTAAGAAAATCCCCGTGACATTTAAAAATCTGAACATCATTATCTCACCCATACTCTTTTGTAAAATCTCTTCAAACATTACCTGAACACTACTTCTCTGAAAAGCCCTCGCTTAGCTGACTACAAATCACTTCTCTGTACTACAAATATGGAGTAAGCCTAATCGTTGCGTCACTTCCGGTATCTCAGACAATCCCTTTCCGTTTGTTAAAATGTTTTTGGAAATGTTTTGTTGTTGATGTTGTAAATGTGATTTGACTTCCCAGCCACCGTAGTATTTTTCCCTGGTTTTACTTCCACACTGGGGGACATGTTCACCCTCACATGGAAGAAGTAATCTGATTGGCACGTAGCATGTAGCATGTAGTTTGAAGCAGGGATTTGTAGTGCCCCATTTGTAGCGTTGGAAACGATTTGTTTCATCCATTTCATCGGTTGGTTTGCTGCAATAATGAAAAACAATTAGCAACTGTATAAATTGAACATTTGTTTGTTCTAATTTGCTATGACCTGAGAGCGCATTGAAAATAACACTAATAGGCTATGAAGAGTAATATGAACTTATCTGACCTGAATGAAAATGTCTGGAGCACCAACAGATATCTGGGGATGGTAGAGAACTGGATATCAGCTCGTCTCACAGCTGCTATCCAGGCTACACGCCTTCTTTTGGTAACATCGATACACGAGCTGCCTCGTGATGCTTCCAGGTGGGGAAAGAGTAAAAACAGCGCCCGTTTTCCAGCTTTTCCCTTCCCGATCGTCCGATCTAACAACTGACAACACAGCAAGGACGAACCATTACTGATGCTTGCGCTCCTTTAGCCCTTTGTTTGGCCTCGGTGGTCACGCCCCCCCGTGACATCACGCTCCAAAGCCCTGGGAGACAGTTGGTGTGGTAAGCCCCGCCCTCTATTCAAAGATGGTCGTTCACAGTGGGCATAGGCTGTGTCCCAGTCCAGCGACCGCACGCTGTACGGGCGAGTATGGGTC